GTCGCGGAGAACCTAACGGGTAACCGGGGCTCCGGCTCGACGTGCAGGAGAAGGAACGGGGTGGTTTTTAGTCAGTAAGAGTCTGACACTCCCTCCCGCCTCACCCAGGCGGGAGCAGTCATTCGATGATTTTCCCCACTTAAAAAAAAAAAACCTAGTTCATTCTGTCTCCTGCAGTAATTCACCGAGGGAAGTGGAAACTATAGTTTTTTTCTTCTTCTCCTCTTATAATATTTTTTTCTTCCCACAAATTACCTATACCACATCTCAGCCTCGCTTGGGAAAGTATCACTTAATTTACAAAAATTAAAATTAAGATCAACTAGAAAATTAAAATTAAACAAAACAAGCAAACAATACAAATCGCGCCACGAGCCATAGAAGATTTTAGTCTGCGCTTCGCGTGGCGCGGGAATGAGTGACCGCACGGTGATGGACGGCTCGGCTCACTATGCCACATAGTACCTTTTCTTTTAGGGAATACGGCTCTCTTTCAAATGACTCGCGCACCGCGCACTTTCGGGAACTCGAGCGTGCATTTTGTTTTGATCGCGCTCTTTTCAAAGTCGACAATTTTTTTGTGCAATTACTTACGGATAGTATGATTGTTGATGTTGTTAGTTAGAGTTAGTAAAAAAAACATTGTTTAATCAGACACCTTATGGGTCAGAGCCAGGGCCCAGGGTGGGGCAAGTGCCCCAGCTTGCCCCAGTGTGGCTACGCCCATGGGTAAACACATAGTTAATTACCCACGTTGCTTTATTAATTATATCTCCTAACAAAAAGAAACCTATTTCAGGCTACCAGAGCGACGGTAGCTGTGGAAAAGAAGTGTCATGGTAAAGGCAAGTCGGTATACAAGGAATGTGTGAAACAAGTCAACAGAAAATGTGTCACCATCACCAAGGACCTGGTCCAGTCTCTAGAACGTCAACAAGCTCAAGTCATAGCCTTGACTAAGGTAACTTTTTTACTACGGGGGGAACATTTCAAAGGTGTCGCGTTCTAAGGCGTGTGAGATTCCAACTTCACTAATACCACCTCAGTGGCCACCATCGTTACCTATAAGGGACACCGCGTCCTCTTATTGAACTACTCCTATCATCTTTCATCAAACCTATAAATTTATCTTGTTCCTTTAACATACATATACCTACCTGTCTAGCTACATTAATTTAAGACCATTTACCACAATAGCTTGTCGCCCCTCGAAAACTCGAAAAAGAACGTTGTATTACACAAAATCATGAAGTTTTTTCTTTCTAGGATACAATATGCAACATGACATCAATGAAAACTGACCCTATTCAATTAATAAAAGTCCTAGCTATGGACGAAGCGTCTTTAGAATTTGCATTGCCCGCCTTTTTGCGACTACTTGGTGGTTGTACTGTTTATTGTACAAAGTAAGTGAATATTCACACAAATAACATTAAACTAAAATTCAATAGGTAATGAATTTTTCAACATTACGGTAATTTTGCAGACAACCGCCACCAGACCGCCGTCCTAGACTGCGCAAACTGACCGATCAAGATCTAGTTGTTAGACATTTCCTTACGAGAAAAAATTACGTGCAACTTTTAAACGACACCCATAAGTATGTGTAAGGATAAAAGAATGCAGCGTTGGTAAACTGGATGCATTCCGAGCATTCATTGCCAATGAACGCACCCGCTACGATTGATCGAGCTTTGTTGTACTTCGCGTTCCATACGCTAGATGTCGCTAGGATCAATGAACTTTTGACGTGAACTTGATTGAAACTTAGAATAACTTAACCAAAATATTCTAAGCTTTTTATGTGATGTGAATAGTGATAACCGTGGGAATATATTAATAAATAACAACGTTTATAGTACAATGCGTGAGAAATGCACATGTGTGATTTAATTCTTAGAATACGACATCCTGGTTCCTTCACTTAAAACTTTGGCCAAATTCCAATGATAAGGTATGTTATGTTATTTACTAATACAATAATCATTAACTGCTATGTAACTGTGTAATTTCCAGTTAAATTATCAACGGTTATTGTATGTATAAGGTTAGTTTTATTACTTTATTAGTAGGCGAAAGTTATATTAGCCCACTTTCACGCGCGTATCAACTTACGGCTAAGCAAGGTGTAATTACAACATTATTTTATACGTGTTCAAAGACAACCTGTATCTTGAAACATATAAGATTAATATTCCTACATAATAAAAGCATCTGATAACTAAAACTCTTTATAAATTCTTAAAACTTTTGTAAACTTGTACCTATGTAACTTGACATACCTGTTGTTAGCTAAGTATTACATTGTAAACATGTATGTAAATATTGGACCAATGGAGTGCTATAATAAGTGTGTAATGCCAATTTAACATTGTTAATTTTCGGTTTCATTAACTCGTCGAGTACCGGTTTTGTAGACACAATTATAGAACAATAGGTTGCGGTCACCGGTGACCGCTTGGTGTTTGACAGTTTAATTAATTCTTTCTTAGATGGACAGGGTTTATTTGTATGTCTGATCTATGTACGGGCTTTGTTTTTACAAAATGGACAACCTGTCATCTAAACTCAGTAGTCTTGTTAGGTAAAGATAAGGTTCTAGATTGTAATTATTGTGTGTATACTGTTTGTAAAGGTAGTAGTACACTAAAGGTCACCTACTGTTACTACTGCAATAGAAACAATCCACTATCAATGATGAAACAATTGAATACAAATCTCTCAAAATATGTTATTTCTGTAACTACTATGCTGCCTTAGTACCAGGTAAGAATAAAAGTTACTTTATCTCAAGTCTTAACTATTCAACCGGAAAAGCAGATGGTAAAGAAGTACTTTGCATGCTGATGTTGAAACCAAAATATGAGGACCTAAATTATTATAAAACTACAAACTATCTGTAACAATTTACGCAAATAAATACTTTTTAAATTTGAATAGCAATGCTGTCAGAGTGTGTTGACTAACAGTAGGCTGAATGAGATATAGTATTGTATACTTTGTGTTAACCTCCTTACATCCACTATATTATGAATGAGACACAATAAAAACAGATTTCTTGAAAAACCAACAAATGTAAGTACAAAAAAGTACAAAAACACAGCTTAATCTTAACACATTTTTATTCGATTTCATTATAATACAATACATAATAAAATTTAACTAATTAAAACTTAATTATAATTTTACAATATTATCAGCCTTATTATTATAGGTATAAAGACTACAGTAATCAATGCAAAATATTTTGTCTTGGTGATGATCTTAATGTAAATTAATAGAAATATAACATAAGATTAACGATAGGCAAGTCTTACAAGTTAAATATGTTTTTTAACCTAAGGACATTGAAAAAAGCGAACATAATGTCACTTAGAAATGATTGTAGCGCCAAAATGTCAGTGGTGTATTTATGTGTATGTGTGTGTAATGGGTTACCGCATTACCAGATGTGTAAGTCAATAGTAACTAGGTCCCACAGTTGTTGTTTCAAGAGACTGTGTCTGCCTTTTTTCAATGATCGTGTTTTAATACATAAACTGCAAATACACAATTATATAAGGTAACGTAGGTTATTGTTACTATTGTAGTAATTCTAAAGTAGTACATTACTTCTGTATAAAAAGACAGGCCGTTTAATTAGCCCATAATTTTATGTGACATCTATCAGAATATGTTAAGCTGACAATAATAATTAATTTATAACCAATGGCAAAGGTAATACCAACGGTATGCAAATTAAAAATCTGATTAGTCTGTCAGTTAAATAATAAAAATTTTAGACTTATTTTATATTTTCTCATATAAAGTGTAAATACTTAGATAAAATGGAGTTAAGTTTAGGAGTAGGAGGTCGTCACACGATGTTTCAGAGTAATATATCGTCGAAAGTCTTAAATTTTGTGAGAAAAGAAAAAATACCAGGCGGACCTTAAAATAAAATTTAAGAAGTTACCCTATGATTAAAGTCAAAGCAAGTTAATTATGCGAAATATAATTAACATTAACAAATGTCAAGACAGTTTTATTTTAATCTTAATTCTTTTCGTAAAATTAAAATTAGGTCAATATTAAAAAATAAAAAATCAAATATAACTTAGTATGACGTATATAAAAAGGGAATTAATTATGGTGAACTAAGAACGATACACACTTGACATAGGAAATTATATTGCATTGTAATATTATAAAAGGTGGAAATGAGAATTTAAATAATAGCCAACTAATCATCTTAACTACAATCTAAAAGAGAATGGCAAACGTCATTTCCGACTCTTTTTGAAATTATATTGCATTGTAATATTATAAAAGGTGGAAATGAGAATTTAAATAATAGCTAACTAATCATCTTAACTACAATCTAAAAGAGAATGGCAAACGTCATTTCCGACTCTTTTTCTTTTCGCTATGAGACTTCTTAGAGTGGGACTTCTTTGATTTCTTCTTATGTTTCCTCTTCCTGCTCTTACTGTCTGATTCACTGCTGGATGTTGATGATGATGAGGAGGTACTAGTTGTGGATGAGGTGCTTGATGACCTGTGAACATAATGAGGAGTTATAGATATTGTTGCTAAGACAGAAGACTTGTGATGGGGTTTGACTGTAAACCATGTTTCAGCTTTTTGCCAACCTATTCCGATCATGCAATTCAGAATCAATGCATATGAAGTTACTATTCCTATATGAATAAACTATTAAACCAACAACAAAGGGACCTTTATACGTTTTCTATATTTATACCTAGACAACGACTCGTAAACTGTATCTTAGACCAAGATAAGAGCCAAAACATAACTGGTAGACAAAACAAACACATCACTACACATTCCTGTAGTAAAAACATAACAT